TTTTTTTTTGCATGTTATCACTGTGCCCGTTTTTTGCTTTTATTCTTTGTTCCGCAAAGTGCGCTCTTTTAGTTTGTAGTGATGTGACAATATATATATAGACCGTCAAACAGAGCTGGCCGGTAAACCATAGGCAGAGAGGGAGAAGAGGACAACAAACGAGGGGCTGTGACAAACTGTTTCGTCAGAGATTCACCGACTCATCAGGAGTAAATATATAATTGGGGTATATACTATATAGTCTATAGTAGACTCTATACTACATAGATTTGAAAGTTTTTCTCTGCCCTTTAGCTGATTAAGTTATCGTGTGTCATGAATGTTCTGCGGTTGTGCACTTGGTTGGAGCTGCAGGGGTGGAGTCTTTTTGACAGGTGGCGCTGACCATTTTCTTCGGTTATGGGATCTTGCAACTGGGAATCTTCTTGCCCATGGCCTTGCACACAGCTCACGAATTACGTCCGTGTCCTTCAGCCCCGACGACAAGAAAATTCTCTCAACAGGAAATGAGGGTGCCCTTATGATCTGGAATATGGACTATTAGCCATCCCATAACTTTTATCTAGTTTCATCGCACAGAGCTTAAGATGGATAATGATTGTTCCGACGGTCCCGCATCTGTGCAGTTCAGAGGGACCACAGAGGGACCACCTTTTGAACCACCAGTTCCACGAAGCGCCGGTTGATCTCCTGTTCAGCTATGTATGGGTAGCAGAATTGGGGTCAGGTCCATCCCCAAATGAAAGGGCCCTTGTTCCACCCACCGCGATCAGACCGGGCATGCAGAGGGCCGGTCGAGCTCCCGTTCAGCAAAATGAATGTGCATATCCAATCCAAGAATAGAGTGTGCAACCTACCGCTTGCCAGGCAGTGGAGAGTCTTGGTCCTGGATTCTGTGTGGATGCTGCTGCCTGCGGAGGATCTCATGGATGACATGTGCTGACAAGTAAGTCCTTGCTGCAACGGTGCCGCAGTGGACTGAATGCCACGACCGGTATGGCTGCAGTTTTGAACACCGGGTCACCGGTGCAGTGGTAAAGGCCCCTGGCTGTTATAGCAGAGGTCACGGGTTCGATTCCGTTTCGCTGCGGAATGATCATGGGCTACAATGATATTTGTGAAGATATATATATATATATATATATATATATATATATATATATCACTGACAGATACCTAACCAATAGGCCAATAGGGCTGGGGTGAAAGTCAAGCGCCAAGATGAGTACTTCACCCCACTCCAGCACGAGTGTCTCCGTGTGACCCAGTGTCCCCAACAGTACTCATCCCACACATCTCACAGCGACACACCGAGATGTGCATGCCGAATCCAAGGACCGAACACGCGACCAGAATCTGGGTCAGAATCTGGTCAGATCCAATCCAAGAACCGAACACGCGATCAGAATCTGGTTCAGAATCTGGCCAGATCCGTCCACGAGCTTCTTCGACAGCAGTTACGGGGCGAAAGCATGTGCATGCCGAATCCAAGAAACGAACACCCAATCAGAATCTTGTTCAGAATCTGGTCAGATCCATCCACGAGCTTCTTCTCCGACAATCCCCGGTTTTTGGGCATGGCCCGCCAGGGTAGGTTCGATAATGGCAGGTTTTTGGGCATGGCCCGCCAGGGTAGGTTCGATAATGGAGAAGAGGCTCGGTTGACCCAGTGTGGTTAAATCTCTCTGGGACATCTGTGGTCTTTGGAGGAGGTACCATGCTGTCCTTCGGTCCTTAGTGGAGAATGTATGGATATGTCAAATCCCTCGCAGGATTTTATTTTATTTATTATTTTATTTATTTTTATTTTTTATTTTTTTTTGCAATCCCTTGCAGGGTGTTTTAATTGCCAAATAATTTGAAAATTCAAAATTTCCTTTCGGCAAAGAAACCTGGAACCTTCTGGAACAGCTTAGTTTCTTATTTAGGAAGTCAGGAAGTCAGTCTTATATAGAGCTTAGTTTCTTATTTAGGAAGACGGGAGAGCTCGGTCTGTACTGGTTCCCTAAACTCGTTTTTTTCTTTTTTTTTTTCCTTTTGGGGGGGGGGGGGGAACTCTTGAGTCTCTATGGAGTGCAAACCTATTCGGCACTAGAACAGTTTGGTACCTAGGGTTCTAGTGAGACCGGTATTAGGGTGGGAATTTGGAACCCCTCCAAACGGTATAGTTTCCTATTTAGGAAATCCATCTTCAACAGAGGTATGTCCCTACTGATCCCCTAAACTCTGATCCACTTTGAAGTGCAAACCTACTCATCACTAGAACAATTAGGTACCTACCGTCTTCTCACCCAAATAGAACACCCAGCCATTCTCGCTGTATCTAGACAGAAATTTG